GTGCAGATGATGACGGTAAAACAGTACTTGTCACAGAGAAATGATGGATTTGATTTCTACTTCAAAAAATAAAAGCAAGATAAACAGTTAAACTAAGCTTAATGCAGTAAATTCCTTTTTTCCCCCCCTGTCTTCAGGAGATTCAGGAGGCTCGCAAGTTGGTTTTATAACAAAGGTGGGAGGTTTTCAAATCCACGATGAAACATTTCACATGATTCGATATCGATAATTATCAGGATAAATGTCAAATCATTATTTCTTTCTAGTTTAAAGGCTGATTTTTGCTCCTGAGTGCAAGTCGAAGAAACCAGATGGTTATTTGTGGTTTTAAACTTTTCTTTATGGTCAAAGCAAACATGATAAAATATTTTTTCCAGTGAATATGTGTGAGTAAAATTAAGTAAAATCTTTGTTTCAGGCCCTTTTCCGCAACAAATATCTTAATAGACATATTAAGTGCTGATTAATTTGTGATTCAAATGAATTAAATCAAACATTTATTGAACATTTCTTATTTTGTTATTGAGAAAAATGAATGATTGTTGTAATGCTGAGCCCCGTCCAAAATGTTTAATGGGAGTCTCAGTGAAAAAACAAATTACAGTAGTTATAGAAAAGCTGCTTATAACAATTGTTTTATAAATAATTTGATTTGTGTTTGGAGTTTTTGAGAAAAGGAGACATAATTTTAAGAGACGTGTTCAAGCAATCGAGAAAAACTGTAATAAATGCCGTAGGACAGACTCTAATTGTGTATTTGGTGCAGTGTGTGCTGTCAGACGTCCTGGATTAATTCTGCCTGTCTGTGTGATGATAGAGGCATCCAGGACTTGAGCAAAACTGACCAGGTAAACTAAAGGAGGGGCGCCATTCTCCAAACTTTGTCTGACGGGAGGCCCACAGTCTCTGAAAACTCCTGGTTTTACATAAACAGGACTGATGTCTTTACAACGACGAGTCAATCGAAAGAAAATTAATCGACAACTGTTTTGATAACCGATGATGCCAAAAATGTGAAACATTTACTGGTTTCATCTTCTTATATCTAAGGAATTGCTGCTATTTAGAGTCATTTACAAGGCAACACTTTGTGTTGAAAAGTGGTGGGGACATGGGGGGCTTAGCTCACGAGACACCACGATACGGAACGTTAGGTTCACGAGAACGAGATGAAAAGATCCTTAAACAGTGTTAAAGATATCCTCAATGCCGAGATATATGAGCGGGGGTCTGGGGGGAGCTCCCCCAGGAAATATTGATGTGTAAACACTTCATTTCCTGCATTGTGGTGAAAGTTTCTGCACCAGTTTCTGCTGGAAATGTTTTCAATTATGTAAAAGGAAACACAAAATTCAGGTGGCAGGTGACATTTCAAAATATATAAATATATAACGGAACATAAGTGAGTGCAGCTCTCAGTTCTGTGCTGCTTTCAGATCTGTTTCTCCAGTAGATCAACTTTTGTCATGTAACATCATCCCTGCAGAGGCAACACATATGTAGGCATGATTTAGTCTTCCCTCCTCTTTTGTCATGTTCACAGGGAGAGAACAGAACTGATTGGTGCTGCAGGTTTTGGGGTCATTTTATAATCAGTAAAAAATTTTTTTTAACTTAAATTACTTTTTTTGAACAATGCACATTTGTTTATTCTATATTTTAATTGCATTGCATGTTTTCTTAATGTGCAACTAAACCTTTTTGAAGGCATTTTCATTTGTTATTTCACTGCAAGCTATATTTCAGAATGCTTTTTAACAAATTTTGCTGTAAAGAAGCGGTGGGGACAAAATCAGCCATTTCAAAAAGTGGTGGGGACATGTCCCCAGCGTCCCCAGCGTCCCCAATGTAAATGACACGTGTGTTTTTAATGATAGTAAATGACGAGTCTTTGGGTTTTGGACTGTTGGTTGGACAAAAGAAGCTATTTAAAGATGCACTTTGGGCTCTGGAAAATTGTAAACGACTTAAAATAATCGACAGATTAGTCGATAATGAAAATAATCTAGTCCCTGGGTCAGCCTTAGGTGTTGCTGTGAGCTGACTCTGTGAAACAGTTTAATCCTGGTTCAGACTTTTCGCAGGCTGTTCTTCCGGATCTCCCACACTGTGAATCCCCACCTTCTTTGTGTGTGTTGTTCCTGACTGTGTGCATCCGTGCACGCTCTTCTTCTTTGTTTTGAGGGCCCCTGATTGCTCCACTGGTCCAGATCTGGGCCATGCTTCCTGACGCTGGAGATAATTATGATGATAGTCTGCTGGGTGCATTGTTCAAACACGGCCTCGCTCTCCGTTGGGGTGTGTGAACCAGGGTCTTCTGAATCTTGACGTCATTTTCTGGCTCTTGTGTTGTTTCCTTTATTTCACATACAAACAAGTGCACGTGCAAGAACATAATGTGTTGTGTTCCTGCTGCTGATGACCTGTGCCCTCTTTATGGACGCGAGATTCTGGGATGAAGCATTTGGCTCATTTGGATGCTCATTTAACAGGCCTGTTAGTATGAATAATGAAGCACATATAGTGTCTAAGTCCACACGTATATGATATATTCAACTTTAAATATCAGAACAGGCTCTAAACAACAAATATAGACAGTTACATTTTTCTTTTTTTCTTTATTATAAAAAAATTATAAAAAGTAGGTTCTATGAAAAGACTAGAAAAAATAAAAGGAAGTACAAAACGCTGTGCATGTTATAAAATGTAAATCCCCCCCGCCCTCTTTGATCACAGCATGAGGGAGTGTTGGTCTGAACAGGCTTCACTGCCTGCTGCATATTCGGAGGAGAAAAGAAACTATTAAGCTCTGCTGCTTCTCAGGGGCCACACACACAACACTTGAGCCAACCTGCACAACAATGGCACGATTACAACCTCATGATAAAACACTTTATCAAACACTAATCGATCTCTGGGCTGCTTTTATCGGTGAACCATTGAGTTTGTTAGTTACCACACTTTTCAAAAGCTTCACTTGAAGTGGCCTCCTGATGCAGAACGAGCTGATTAAACTCCTTTAGGAGCACGAATAAACTTCTGCTACCTGACAAATCCAAAAAAACACAAAACAAACAGACATTCAGTTCAGTGACAGGGACCCACATTTACAGTTTCATGCTCAGAGTACAACAGTTACACCCACAGAGGCTCCTGGAGGCTCGTGAGCTCCTCTTCAGTGGCACAGCATCACTCTGATGCCTCTGCTGCACAACACATGTCCTCAGTGTCAAAGTGGACTTTCAGTCTACACATAATGCTTCTTGTCAAAGTCCCCGTTGGCTGAGATGGTCTTGGTGGGGGCGTATTTGATGGGGTAGGTGCCTCTCACCCCCTGGGAGAAGGAGCAGCACAGCAGGGTGCCGCCGAGCAGCAGCAGCGCGGTGGCGGCCCAGCCGATGTAGATCGCCGCCCCGATCTCCCTCTTCTTGGACGGGGGCACCTGCGGGTTGTGGAAGTCCACTATGATGTTGTTGGCCATCCAGCAGAGCGGGACCAGCACGAACAGTCCGCTGATGATGTAGATGACCCCTCCGGCGTTCACCACTCTAGCCTTCACCGCCTCATCCTTGATGCAGTTGGTGCACTGCGCCCCGGCGACCGTCACCGTGAGCGCGATGACCCCGAGCAGGGCGGAGATGATGGTCAGGGCCCGGGCCGTCTGCAGGTCCTGCGTCAGGGCCAGCACCGAGTCGTGGACTTTGCACTGCATCTGGCCGGTGCTCTGCACCACGCAGGACATCCACAGGCCGTCCCAGATGGTCTGAGCCACCACGATGTTGGAGTCGATGAAGGCGGTCACCTTCCACGTCGGCAGCCCGCAGGCGACCATCACCAGGAGGGAGCCCATGACGCACAGCGCGAGGCCGAGGGACTCCAAACACGCAGCAAGCATGGCTCTGTTCTCCGTGTCCTCCTTATTCGAGAGATGAAGTTAAAACCTCTTGTTGTTGTTGTGTGTGTCTCCTCTCCGCGGTCTTGTGTTGATGCTCTGCGTGCGCTCTCGGGCTTTTCATTTAAGGCACCGATGACGCTGCTGCGCCTCCACCAAAACAAAACCGAGAGACTTTTGGGCCAATCAGCTGTAAATGCATCTGCGTCTCAGCCAATGGGATGGAGGGGGGGTCCGCAGGAGCAGCAGCGGCAGCATCTCGCACACTTGCGCGTTCACGTTTACGCACTGGCGTCAGAGAGTATTTACCAGTTTGTGCCGGAGCGCACGAGCTTCCTGTCATTCAGAGTCTGTGGGAGGAGGTGGAGCAA